GTCCATCGCCGCTTGCGGCTTTAATATTTACATTATTTCTGCTTTAGGGACAGATTTTCTGCTGTTTTCGCTGCTATATTTTCCTACCACAAGCGTACTGGGTTTGTTCAAAGTGGAAAACTCAGAATTATCACCAACTCTAAAGCTCTACAGTTAATTGTTTCTAATTACTTTTGTGTCTCAGGTCTCAGGTATTGATTGTTGTGTTTTTTCACAAATAGAGCTGTCATGTAAAATGCTTGATTCCAGTAGCTGTGTTCATTTACAATCATATCTCGAGCAGTTCTTTTAAATGTTTCTTACCAGGAGTTCATTCAGATGAACTTTTCACAAAGCTGCTGAGTTTATATATATATATATATATTTAAATAGTAAGGCTAAGTGCCAAAAGGATTGTGAAGAAAACTGAGACCAAACCAGAGTTTACATTAACCAGGTGGGTTGAATTCCAAATCTATGTTTTCAGATGCGTTGCGTTGCCTCCCGGATGTTAAATCAGCAGCGGGCTCATCTTGATTTCTGTGTAAGGTCAGGCTGCAACTAGTGACCACTGTGATAGCTGAATAATCTTTTGATTATTGAGATGAATATCAACCTATCGGATTATTAATTGCCGAATCACTTACAGGCTCTTGTTTAGCTCTTAAATTTTGCTTGAGGAACTTGACCCACTTGCCGTGTTAATCTCAGGACTTTGAGAAGGTTGTCGACACTTTTCTGCAATCACACCGAGCCGTAGCTCACTTTGGATAGTGCTGCACTCCAGCGCTATTGCTGCTTACTGGAGCAAAATGTGTCAGGTAATTTTGTCATGGATTTTTATTGGCTATTCTTCAAGCACCTCAAGTGTACAAATCGAATATATTGTCTTTAAAGTGCTTAGTTAAGTTTCAGCTGTTTGATCCTCTAGTTCATAATGCCCTGTTACACTATTTGCATTCTGACTTTGGGCTGTTGGTAATTTGTTTCTGATCATCCTACTTATCTCCACACACTATTACAGGTGTTTTCTCCCTCCTCTATTATGTTGCAGGTCTATGTAGCTGCTAGTCTGTTTTGAGGATTGTTTTTTTTGTTGTGCTGAGTGCCTATAAAATGAAATTTAAAAGGTCTTTCAAATGACTTATTACTGACAGTAACAATTAAAACGCTTCTAGTTACTCCTAATGTACAAATTATAAATGAACTATGCCTTGGTGTGCCCACTGTTCCTTTTAAAAATGCTCTTGAACTTTCTTACTAGTATTTATTATCACTTAATTTAATAAGACGTTATTTCATCATCTTAAATGTTACTAAATTTTCAAACAATGGCCTTCAGACAATAATTTTTTAAGGTGACTCTGGGCGCGGTGCTTCGTTAGTTGAAGATGCTGAATCATTTCTCACGTAGCCACTATCTCTGTTTGAGCGTCTCCTCATTAATATCATTGATCGTCACAGAGCCAAAGCGGGTATTTTCCTTCGGCCTCTTCGGTGTTATTCCTCACTGTCGCGCGGAGGATGGATGATCAAGCCCAGCATACGTCCTTCCCACTCCCCTGCCTCCATCTCCTTCCTGACTCCTCTAGCATCTTATCTGAGTGGCCTCCTCCAGCCCACAGCCTCCTCCTGGCGACCTCCTACTGGCTGCCTGCCAGAGTGCCGATCACTGCATCTGTCTGTCAGCAGAATACCAACTGATTAATGCTTTCACTGCGACCATTAATAAAACTGCGGAGAGGCTGCTCTAATTGAGAGGTACGGCTAGGACCACACTAAACAAAATGAGGACATGTACAGTAGGGATATGTGAAATCATGGGTGTGTGTGTGTGTGTGTTAGGGTATGAAGAGGGGCCTGCTTCTGACAATCGATGATATAGTTGCTCCAGTGTAAAATCCAAACAGTGCACTCAGTTATTTACGAGGGCTAAAGACTGAATGTACACAGTGTTTTAGGTTTTATTTAGGGTCTGTCAGTGTGGTGTGTGACAGTGGCTGTCCTCCCGCTTTGATCTTGATTTTCTGCACAGTAGCAGAATCATTGTGGTGTAGTGATAAAGTACTGGTGTCTAGGCCACTGGCACCAGCAGTGATCCACGGGCACTCTGCTGGACACACCCTGACTACTTGGCTCGTTTGTGTCATCCATCTCCCCTCTTCTCACACAGCGAAGGATTCCAGCACTGAAATCATTTGTTCTGGGGATGAAGGGGGAGAGGAAGCTCGTCTGTGACATGTTTTTGACTCAAAATATGACTCTGCTGGCCTGGTATGCAGTGTAGGGTGTACACAGTGACCAATTGGGTAGCTTCATAGAGTGCTAAATGTAAAGGTTGATGTTAATTAAGTTATTTTGCCCAGGTTGGATATATCTGTCGGCACACTGAGTTGGACGTTGCTGTCAGAATGAGTGAGTTTCAGGATTAAAAACGGCACTCCATCTACGTCGACGTTTAGAAGTGTGTTAAACAACTGCTGTTGGATGACTGTTTTAATGCTATCCAATCATTTACCCTCTTTTCTCAAAATAAACAGAGACAGTAAGCGGGATTTTAGTGATCCGTCTCTGAACGATGTTGTTGCTCTGTGGCTGAGAGATCAGGCTGCTGTGCTAAATAGGTGAGCAGAAGGGACAGAGAGCGGACAGTTTGGAAATTATATCGTTAGCTGGATTCACCCTAGGAGAGTCAGTCTGTATAACTGTTGACGAGAGGGACATGGACACTGAACCTTTCACACTAACCCCACAATAGATGAAAACACTTGTAATCAGGATACACAAAGATGCGACAGCTAGAGCCTCAGACTGTGTAGATCTAAAAACTAGAAATCTGAATAAATCTTTTGAGTACCAATAATTACATAGATAAATGTAGTTTGAAGCAAAACCAAAAAATCTACTTAGTGAAAATAAGTCATTTTGGTTGTAAACGTCTCCTCATGTCCATTTACTAATCAAAAACACATTGTTTGATACATTTTTATTTTAACCCCCTGAAGTTCTTCCTGCACTCCTAAATTTCTCAACTAGGAGCACACATGCTAATTAGGAAAAAACCAGAAGCTTTAAGCGCTGCTGTCTCCTCTCCCTTTCCTCCATCCTGTGCATGAGCGTCAATGTATAATACTGGAATAGTGTTGCGCGAATCGGTCTAAGCCACTTTATTTCCTAGTTACAGAGCCAGGGCTGTGTACAAACACTAGATTTTTTCCAGCTCACAAAAAGAATTTGCAGACCATGAGCAGACATTTGCTAAATCTGACAAAAAGTGTCTGGGATGAGAATCACATAGTCCATGTTTTACTCTCTAGTGGCCCCTCCAATTTAATAACATAAATCTCAGCCTTAAAAAAAAATAAAAAATCCAAAAATCAAGACTGCAACTCACACACAGCCCTCTGACCATAGTTTTGTGTTGGCATCAAGGTTTATTGTCCTTTTTATAATGTACAATATACAAAAATATAGGGTACCAAAAATTCACAGTGTCTAAAAGGCAGTGATTACAGTCTACATGACAGGTCTAACAGTACACCTGGTAAGTTGCATAGAAGGGCACAGAGCCTCACATTGCAGGGGACAGAGCTCCAAATGAACCAATCAGATGAATGGCTTTGAGACCAGGCCAATAGGAGCTCACTGTAGATCACAACCACATCTTTTGAATGCCATATCCTGGTTATGTGTGGCTATTTGCAGTGTTTTAATATTCAATGCTGTCATTATCAGTGCTTCACTGAGTTGTTTTCATTGCGGGTTCATGAGTCTGGAAATTTGATGTTTGAGCAGCTGGGAAAGGTCAGAAGCCACAGGCGGTCGGTCACATCGTGGAGCTCTGTCCCCAAACAAACCTCATGGTTGGTGTGTACTTAGCTGCTGCACTTTTTTTTTTTTTTTTCCTTTTTAAACAACTATAAGGCTTTTTTTTTTATTTTTTAAACAAACAGTGTTAGCTATACAATATACAGATACATTTACATGATCCTCTTCGGGGACATTAAATGGGCAGAAGGCTGTTTGCTCTTATATACAGATAGAGCTCTCATCTCGTGCATGTACATTAGCTGAACTGAAAAGCATTGCTGGGTTAGCATTCATCGATCAGGCAATAATAATAAAATATAGCTGTGAAAATGCCCTTTATAAACCAGGCTTTGACTATAAATAATGTCCATTCCACCTCAAGAGGAAACCAGAGGCGCGATGCTTTAACTTACAATGATTAACATCTCATACATGAAAAACCAGCAGAATGCCTAGAGTGACAGAGTGTGGAAAAATGCACACATATGCAAAAAAAAAAAAAGAAAAATCAACCTTTACAGACCTCATAGTCATATGTATGAAAGCATTAACTTTGTACAAAATACAGCAACCCCCCCCTCCCCTTTGCTCATTCAGACATACAGACAGTACATGTGTTTGCACGTACGCACATCCACACACGCATGCATTCATTTTGATCTTCACACTGTCAAACCTCTAAGCAAGCAGTTTTTTTTTTTTCTTTTTGTCTTTTCAGTTGGGGCCAAATTAATGTTAATGTCAGTCATTCTTTGTAAAAAACCATATCATTAAAATTAATTGTTTTATTTTTGTGTTAGCATTTCATGTGTTGAAGATGCAGTGGTTATGAAGCTTCTGGATAATCAAAACAAAGGAATGCGTTCATTCAGTAAAAATTAAAGAAATTAAGGAAACAAGAATTAATCAGTTATATCTTATTTAACAAAATATTTCCACCTATGCTACGGCTCGTCTGAGCATGAAACAAGTATCATCTTAAAAAAACAAACATTTAAAAAAAAAAAAAAAGAACAAGTGCCAGTCTACTAGCTTATTCTACCATCATAGAAAACCCAATCCAGTTGTTCAGCGCACTGGCCATATTTGATATGACCACCGAGCTATTTAGCACTCAGTAGAATCAATGCATCCATCGGAGAATCAATTGGAGAATCAATCAATTCTCTTCCAGAAGTCTTTATTGTTCTTGGAAAAAAAACAAATGAAATAGAAATTAAACAAATCTCGCCCCCTGCCCTCTATTGCATACAGGCACCCACGGCATTCCCAAAGCTTTTACAGTTCAGAACACCTCCAGCATTCCTTGCTTTGTTTTGATTTTACGAGTGAATGTCCTTGTCCACAAAAGGCGCGAGACTGTGATCACAAGCTGATACAGAGGGTGTTTCTCTCCAGCTGAGTGATGCTGAGTGCTGTGACTCCTCCAAACAGCCGTCCGAAACCTTAATCAACTTTGAAGTTCTTATCTTTTGTCACGTGAAACGCCATCAATGGAGGGCGTGCATGCCTCCCCCCTCCCCCAAACAACCAGGCTGATATTGATCTCTAATTTACTTCATCATCGACTTCATTGAGTTTTCTCTTTTGTTCTCTTGCTCTGTGTTGTGTGGCAAGGACATAACCATATGCGCCGTTTGTTCTCTGTAACTGCTTTTGTTGTCAAGGGACTCAAAGCTGAGGATGTGGTTTGTTATGGAGAGGCATAAAATGGTGACCCAGATCCAGAGAAATGGAATTTTTTTTTTTTGTAGTGTTTTGTTCACGTTAGCCTCCAGAATTGCGTATGCTCGACCCAGCACCTGCACTGAGGTGATGTGGTCATAATCTGTCTAAAGCCATTACTCGTCCTCCTAGAGTTTTTCCACTAGTTGCCCACACAAAGCTGAGAGTTGACACTGCTATATCCAGTCAGGCCCTTACCATAACACACCCCCAGCTGGTTGCATAAGTTCATGACTGTACCAGGACACAGGCATTGTTGTCCAAACCCACATCTCCTGATGGAAAGTTCCAAAAAACGCCCTTGAAAACACAAACCCTACCATGCAGAAGAGACTACGGGAGCAAGGAGAGGGGCGATGGTGAACAGAGGAACCTGGCCAAGCTCGGAGCAACATTTCAGTTCATGTTATGTCACCACGGCGTTGGGGTTGGTGTCCGTTTGGGGCAGGGGGGTTAGAGAGCCCGTTGTGGGCCGTGTCTCAGCTGTTGTTGCTGTTGTTGTAGGTCCTGCACGGTGAAGGGGACGAGTTGGGCTGGTAGTCGAATTTGCCAAGCGCTGTGGGATAGTAGGTGGTGGTGTAGACGTTGGTCTGCTGGAGTGGCGTTGGGTAGAAGTTGGATCTTTCATCTGGAAGCAGGTTGTTTTTGTTCAGTGTCTGGAATAACACAACAAAGAAGAAAGGAAGCATTAAACTGTACTGCAAAAATATTATCGCTAATTGTAATTTTGGAACTTATTTTCAGTATGAGGTTACCAATAGAGCCAACAGAGACTCCAGAAGCTATAGAACCACTGTTTCCCATTTCCAGGTCTTCATGCTAAGCGAACTACACTGTTGCCCATAAAGTTGGAATATTTTTTATTTTCAGACACATTCCTCTTTTTATTTACATATCAGCAATCTCTTCTGACCAGGTGCAATGATCCGTCCCCATGTCACAGGTGGAACAAATTCTGACTTTGGGATCTGACTGAAGAGTGGGACGTCCTGCCCATTGACTCCATCAACAAGCTGGTGGACAGTACGCCACCATGTCTTAACGTATTGATCCGTGTCGGGGTGGCCATATTCAATATTAGTGACTGAGAGACATTTGAAAGAGTAATATTGGATATTCTAATTGTGACGGCCCCACCTAGTCTGTGGGTTGGGCACATTGGCTGTCTGTGTTTGGCTGTTTGGCTAGTTCCTCAGGTCCCTAGACTGCTGGAGACTGAGTGGGCGGTCCTACCTGATTGGCAAGCTCGGGCCCAGCGCTCCCAGGTACAAAAGGGCCAACCCCTCAGCTCCTGCTCTCTCTCTCTCTCCTCATGCCCCTGATTTGTGGTTTGTGTTCCTTTTGGTTTGGTTCTTACATCTGACAACATCTTGCACCACATCACACCCAGGCATCCAGACATCTGCACCCACACTACTGACATACACACCTCACTTTGAATAAATTAATTTAACAAATTAATAAAACTTTACGTTAAAATCTGACAACACCTGTGTCATCTCCCCTCTTTTGCCACAACCTATTTGCTGGGTTGTGACATAATGCATGAAATCCCCTCAAATATGTGTTTCCTGTTAAATTGACCAAGGTTGAAAAATTAAAAAACAAAACCCTTCATCTATTTAAGCCTGAATACACAGTTTGCAAAAGTTAATTGTGGTTTATTTTTTACTGTAGTATGTATTGTATGTATATTGTGATTGTGAAGCTTTGAGAAGATATACATTTATCTATCAAGAATAAATCAATGGTACAATCATTTTATGAGAAGAGGTAAAAAAAAATATTTTATTCCAACTTTATGAGCAACAGTGTATGTCGTATTTATTAAACACACAAGTGATCTTATCTTCTAACTCTGTAAGAAAATAAAGGTGTGATTCCCAAAAATAACCTGTTAAAGTAATTAATTACTTCATCCTGTTTACTATCAGCTCATCTGGTCTATTCTAAAATAGTTTATTTTATCAGAATACATTTGATACTAGTGCAGCAATCTGCTTATTGTACGATCAGTAGGACACTTCTTCGGCTTAGACAAAACATTTTCAGCAAGTTTTGAGGTTTCATTTGAGACAGACTTTACAAGACTGGGATTTGTTGCACTGTGGACAGCGAGTTCAATATTTTGTAAGAGATGCCTATAACGTATGGTTGCAGGTGAATAAAATGCCTCCGGTAGCCTCGAGGTTATTGCTTGTGTGTCTGAGTGTATTCATAACCAAAGCAAACCAATTTAACAAATTTAATTTAGATGTTGTCAAGCATACTCAATTCTCTTAATATATGGGATGGTGGCAATTCATTGCAGCTCTCTTAAATAAAAAGAAGTCTAAAACCCACATTTTATTCTAATGCAATTGCTGAGTCTCTGGTAAAAGCTGAACATAAGGTGAAACACTTTCCAGAGGAAGCATTAGACTAATGTAATCCATCTGAACAGCTCTGGGGACCAAAGCGGGAAGATAATCAGGTTAGAGTCTGTGAAATACACAACACTGGGCAACATAAATTGGCCTGGAGGAGAGGGAACCTACTGCATAAACAGTGCCGTAGTGCTACACAGTGACATCGGCTGCTCATCCAGCAGAGTCTGGCCACCCCCTCTGGTCATTAAAGCTAATGAGTTCAGGCTCTCAACACCACGATGGCTGTCAGCACCACGGCCACAACAATAACGGCGAGGACAACAAGTATCAGGAGGCCGACACGATCAAACACACAGCGATGGGAATTGTGGTTTGGCACCATGTTTCTGCCATGCTTTGGTAGGATCTTCCAATATCAGGTGGATGGGAACGGTTACGATGAATTTCTGCTCGCACACATTGGCTGCTGTCAAGACAAAGACTGTTCAGACCCAAACAGCTCTGAGTTTAGGAAAAAAGAAGGAGGTGCCATATGACTGTTATTAATACAATACATTGGGCTTTTACCAAAAAGCTACTGAGCACAGTGACGCCAATTCTAACCTCTGCTTTCATGATTGAGGTAGCCAGTTGACTATAATTGTGTATTTGCATGTCTTTGATTTGCCAGTGCACTGCTATTCATCAGTGATTCATTATTCATGTAATCTGATACAATTTAGTTAATGTAGACTACAGATGCTGTAATGGGTTGAAGCTCAGGTGGTAGAATGGGTTGTCCACTGATTGCAAGGTTGGTAGTGCGATCCCCAACCCCTACGCATGCTGAAGTGTCCTTGGGCAAGGCACTGAACAATTGGTGTACAGTCGTCCTCGAATGTATTCATACCCTCCCATTAAAGAAGCAAAAAAACAGCTGTCACTGAAATAAGTTGAAACTGACAAAGGTAATAATAAATAAAAAATTTAATGAAAATCATCCATCCATCCATTATCTATACACCGCTTAATCCTCACTAGGGTCATGGGGGGTTGGAGTCTATCCCAGCTGACTCAGGGTGAAGGCAGGGGACACCCTGGACAGGTCACCAGTCTATCACAGGGCTACACTTAGAGACAGACAACCAAGCACACTCACATTCACACCTACAGACAATTTAGAATCACAAATGAACCTCAACATGTTTTTGGACTGTGTGGGAGGAAGCTGGAGAACCTGGAGAGAGCCCACGCTGCACGGGGAGAACATGCAAACTCCACACAGAAAGATCCCGGGTGTCTTCACCAGGATGTGAACCGGCGACCTTCTTGCTGCGAGGCAACAGTGCTAACCACTGCATCATGACATTGCTTTTGAATTGTGGTTCAACAGAAATGTTAAAAAACAAAACAAGCAAACAAGCATGATGGGACCCGTAAACTAATGTTTTGTTGAGCAACCCTTTGAGGCAATCACTGTAATCAAGTGTTTTAGGATACAATAATTCTTTATTGATAAGATAATAAGTTTTTTCTCAATCAGACTTCTGCACCTGTTGACAGGTATTTTGATTTTGGCCCACTGCTCATTAATCTGGGACAGTTTTTGTTTGTTTTTTTTATAATTATTCTTTTCAACCACAGTTTAAAACTAATGCCTTATTTCACTAAACTATAATTTATCAAATTTTTTATTTATGATTACTTTTTTCAGTTTCTAGTTATTTGAGTGACTACTGTGAAATGAGCCTTTTCTTTAATGGAAGGGTATGAATACATTTGAGGACGACTGTATGAATGTGTGCGTAAATGGGTGAATGAGAAACACATTGTAAAGCGCTTTGAATACCACTCAAGTAGCAAGGTGCTATTTAAGATCATTTATCACATTCCTAATGGCTAGTATACTGTTCTAAACATCAGACAACTGAACACAGTTAAATCAGTTTGGTTGTACATTATTCCCCCCAAAATATTGTGTATTCGAGAGTCGTTTAAAAATGTCAATGATAGGGGCGCTCTGGTAGCTCAACTGGATAAGATGGCGACCCATGTAGGGGCCATGGTCCCCGATGCAGCGGCTGCAGTTCAAGTCCAGCCAGCGACTCATTTGCTGCGTAGCCTTACCCCACTCTTCTGTCTGTCTACACTATCATGTCCATTAAAGGCAAAAAAGCCAAGAAAAAATAATTTAAATAGAAACTGTTAATGAAAATCACATGATAATCACAATCATGTTTTAAATGCTGTTGACATTTGTTGCACTTTACTCCCATCCATATGAACATTGCACATTATCCTAAAAAAATAAATAAATGAAAATGTCAACAATAAATAAATGTTTCAAGTAACCTTGCAGGTCCACATGCCTGGTGCTGACTGAGCTTATGTTTTGTGCTATTTGTTATAAGTCAGTTTATTCTGAAATAGCCTACAAAAAAAACTTACTTTCATTTTCTACATCCAAACACAGCCAAACTGTGCTGGTTTGAAGATGTTATCTAACCCACTTTGCACCTTGCTGGTATACAACATCTGGGCATTAGTGAAGAGAAGGGGCTGCAAGTGAATGAAAATAGTTCCTGCATACGCTAAATGTGTGAGTCAAATATATGAGCTCAGTCTGTGGTGTGTCTATTTCATTTAATGCCTTAATTGATTATAAAGTTGCCGGTACAGTCACAGTATAGTGAAAGGCTGTGTAAGTTTTCTCTTGTATTCAAACAGTTTTCAGGTTAAATGTTCTGTTTTCACTTTGTATGTTGATTAATTTGGTAAATAATTTAGCTTGATGTACGGTGTAGTTTATGCTGTCATTCTCGGTAAGGCTTTCATTGCTGGGGACTGTTCGTGCTGAGCATTTGAAAGTTGTGATTACTAACATCTGGCAGTGACCGTGAGAGTTAATACGTTTATTCATAAAGGTTAAACTTAAAAGGACGCAATTCTGATGTTCCGTCTCTGGATGTTTTATATTATACCACTGCTATGTATTTGCAAACAACCATCTGGAATCATGTTAATGTCTCTTCTATTCTGAGTATACATCATTTAGAAACTCTGTGCTCTCTGGCAGAAGCTCTGTAGCGATTATTCAGCTACTCTTATAGAGTAAAATTTGAGTGTTGAAACCACAAAGTATTCCCACTCAGCTTCGAAGTGGAACTGCTTACACACAAAATTAGCACATTTTAAAACCAAAAATTGCTCCTGTGTGGCAATGATTCAGGGCTGGGGATGGATAGATATAAGGAGGTTCTACATAAAAAGAAAAAAGAAAAGGATAGAACAGAAGAGCTTATTTAAAAAAAGAAATGAGGAATGGATGCAAAGTAGCTCATAAGTTTTTGGGACTGTGAAATAAAAAATTGTGAACTAGTCGGTGTGAAGTAAACTTTGAGCTACGTTAAGTAGGAACCAGCACATCAAATGGAGGTCATCGTATGTTAGAGGACAGACAATTACATGTTCAGATATTGTCTTTGAATGAAGTTTTTTCACGTTGTTTTTGTAGTCTTAATGTCGCTGGGCTAGTGAGCGATTTCAGCTCATCTACAATGGCTCGTCTAGACTTAATCACATTAATAGTGTTTGATCAGGTCTGTTTAACCTGGACAGAGGGTATAAACTCAGGATGAACAGGGTGGGAATCGGCTGTCACAGACGATAAACTTAAAAGATAGTCTAAAAAATGCTAACCCACTGCATCGACACACACTGTCCGTACTCTTCAGAAACCCTGGAAAAAACCTGCAACAGAAGTTGTTTAGGAAAGGACACAAACTTACATTAAAAGTCTATGAACTTGTAATGAAAACAGTTTCTTGACTTGCTGTAAATGTGAATGCACAGCAGACCGATGGCAGTGGGAGGTCGAGGGCTGACTAATGCTTCAGAGAGCTAATGAGTCCCATTCATAAGGACTTGGTTTGTGTGCAGGTAGAACAGCTTCAAGCCTCCAGTATAGGTTCAGTGTAAGAGCAAGGAGGAATAAAAGTGAACAGTAATTCATCTTCTGTGGTTCGTACGCTATTGAGATAAATGAATGAATAAAGGCTCTAAATAAAACATGACTCACACTCGTTGCCCTTGAATCTTCAACATTTACATTGTGTGTGTGTGTTTGTGCATTTTAGTAACACCGAGTAAATGGTATTTTCGTTTTTTTTTTTATTTCTGCATAAAATGTAAATCACATACCTTAAACTCCATTGGTGTGTATTTCTCATTCTTTGGCGTGGTGTTGCCCTTGTAGTTGAGGTGGTTTGGGGTGGTGGGGTGAATGATGGCAGACTCTTGCGAAGGCTTGTGGAAGCGTTGACAATATACGTAGATTAGGAAGGACAGCAGCCCCGCCCCGAGGAAACAGGATACACCAGTGGCAATTAGGTGAATGGAGGTGAATGCTGGGAAATGAAGATGACACAGTGTTAGTAAAGGCTCAGCATACATTATCCCATCCTGTTTTGAAAAGCAAAAAAAAAAATCTTCCCGCACCAATTACTTTATGTAGATCCCGTATTTATCACCACTCTCATGTGATGGCATAACTGAACTAGATTGAGACAGATTTCAAATAGGCAGCACATGGGGTGTTTGGTGGCCTAATGGTTAGAGAATAGCCTCACAGATTTTTAAGTCTGTCCTGAAACAATAGCAGGGTGCCCTCATTAACATTGCGACAGGCTTTAGTTGCTGTAATAATTCCTCCTGTTCATGCAGGCCATTAAGAGGTCCCTTCCGAAAGTAGTTTTGTCCCCCATTTAACATGAAGAACTTGGAGCTGTGGCAGCTCCTGCTGCTGCTATTTTGTACCAGAGTTAGTTCAAAGACAGCATGCAAGGCTGCTCCCAGTGACTTTGTTAAATTTTAAGTGTACAAGGTTTGTATTTAACTACAAAACTGAGGGGTCTCTGGAGAAATGTAACTCTGGAAAAAATGCATGCTGGAAATTCTGCTAATATGCTGATGTTCCTCCAGAAACTTAACGAGTGAACTCTGAGAAGTTTGCTCAGCTCATATCAAGCAAGACTTAAAAGTAGAGTCAGCAACGTTGGAGAGAGATTGTTGATATGTAGCTAATTAGCATATTTAGAAGTGGAGCATGTGCCAGATTGACCATCTCTTGCTCCCACTGCCTCCTGTCTCCTCTCTTAGTGGACTAAAAATGCTACAGTTAACAAACCTGACATGAATTAAACACATCTTTATGTTACGGTCATGAGAAAATGTTGCTTCCACTAAATTCCAGCATGGTGTGCATGCTGTCCAATCAAGATAGAATATCAAAAATATATTTTTTGAAAAAAGCCGGTACAACAAATAGTTAACAGTTTACTCAAACATGATATTTTCCAAGACTTGATTTAATTTAGTCGTCTAAATTATGCTCCAAACTCTTTGGTTGGATCTCCTTAAGTCTGCCACAAATCAGTCTCAGAATAAATTTAGAAAGAGAATTACATTAGCAAAATTATTCATACAGGCGCACAGCTCAGTTGACATCTTATGCCAGCATGACACGTATTTCATCTGCAAATACTTGAGGACCCACCTGACAAAAGCTTTGTCAGGGGGTTTGTGTGGACGCCTCCACGGATGCAAGCACCAAAAATAGGCTTTTAAAACTTTGCTACAAGGGCAATCGTGTGCATGTGCAGAATATGCAAGATGCAGATTACTGCGCATGTATGGAACAGAATTCTCCAAGCAGACTAGAAAGTAGTACAATACCAACAACTATGTGTCTGTGGTGTCCTCAGCTGTCTGTGTCCCCAAGGAAGTACTGCGTCTGAATGAACTGAGTCTGTTCAGGCTACGAGGACACTGTCAGAGTTCTCCTAAGTTCAAATGTATCATCTCTCTGAGAGGACTCCAAAGTATTACATGGAATATTCTTAAACCTTTTTCCTAAATTAGGTCTTGCAGTCATTTGCAGGATGTGCTGTGTGTGTTTTGTGTTGATATCTGCCTTTTTGAGGACAGCTTTACGGGCTTGTATTGTAATTTTGAGGTCATTAAAAAAAGAAAAAGAACGTTTGCCATTTCTCAGCACATAAAGCAAAAATATTTTTCTTCCTCCTAATGACCTGCTGTAAGAATGTTGGACAGAACAGACATGAAAATGCACACATAATGCATGAGAACACACATCATGGACAGACATCTGTGGAAACATAAAGGGGAAAAAAAAAAACTGTACATGCACACAGAGATGAAGAGGAGGCAGCTGTTAATCCACTTACCTCCACAGTGTTGGTCCTTATCAAAACCAGATGCAGGCAGAATGACTGCAGAGAGGAGGGAAACACACGGTCAGACAAACACAGGCATGCACACACACACACACACACACGCACGCACGCACATGCACACACACACATACATACACACTCCCTGGAGAAACAGGCTTCATAACACAATAACCAACGACTGTAACATCAGGGGAGTTGACACATGCAGAAACAGAAATGGTGAATGAGAAATTGAAATGTCTTTTCAATGTTGCGTAAATGGTCCATGGAGATTTTTTTTTTAAATTCTAAAAACATTCGGTAGAAAAATGGACTGTTGAGTGAAAAAAAAAGCGCTTCTCTTCTCCATCACATTGAAACTGCCCAGTTGCTTTTAGAGACACTTCCGTCTGGACGATAATTTACAGGTACAACACGTTCGGTCTTTCTGCTGCCTCCTTCAGAAGAATAGGGGAGCAGGAAGGGCTGGTTCGTGTGTATGTGTGTGAGTGTGTGTGCGTTTGTGTGTGAACAGCTTTAATTGCAGTGCCACATTTCCTGATTAATTTTTTGAGCTAATTTTTCAGCTTCCTCACAGCCGTCTTCCCTCTGCAAGTGACCTTAACAAATCCATCCATTGCCTCATTGAAATTTGCAATAAAATTGGATGTGATTTGGTGTTGTGACAACCCATTAATATTAATCGCCTTCGTCTGGACTCATTAGGGATTCTGAGCCTGGAGAGGCCTGTGCTGGCAGGCCATGAAAGATCATTTCAGAAGAAACTTTCAGAGATCGACATCAGCATAACAAGGTGCGCTGAGGCCAGCAGGGTCAACAGCTAACTTATTGGATTCACATGGACTTAATTATGGTTAATTAACAGAAGCAGATGAGTTTAGAGCTCAAAGAGAACGGCAGGTACAAACACACAATAAGGCATGTTTGTGTAGATCAGGGTTTTTCCTTCTACAGACAGGCTTAGTTGTCGTGCCTTGGTGTTTTTGCAGAACTTCTTAAGCTAAATGAATTTTTAAAATGTATTTAGGCTACATAGGATGAATGGAAAAAAATAAAAAAGAGAGAAAAAAAAGGGACAGTTCTATGTTCCACGTGGCTTGATCTCAAACAGTTGGCAACAGGAATGGCCTGCCAATCAACAGTCTGTGTTTGGATGTGTGTCTGTGCTACTGGTGTGCTCATTATCAAAAATCAATCAAACCACTGATTCAATATTTCTCTGTACCGTCAACTTGGAAGGTGGTTACAACCGATAAGCAAGTTACATACTATTGGAAAGATTCACCTTAACTAAGATTAATACACTTTTTGTCAGGTAGTAATTCTTGTAGATGTTAACAACAGAGATGGTCATTAGCAAAGAAAAGATCTAACTGTCCATCGATCGGCTCATTAATTTTCTTTTGCTTAACTGTGGTTAAGTCATGGTGGCAGCAGGCCAAGTAGAGACATTCAGATGTCCCGACGATCTCATTCTTCCGGTCACGAACCAGAGCTCATGACTATCGGTAAGGGTTGGAACGTAGATTGACTGACAAGCAGAGAACTTTCCCTTCTGGCTCAGTTCCTGCTTCACCAAGACAACACAGTACGACACTTGCCTTACTGCTGAACCAATCCAAACATCAGCCTCGCACTCCATTTTCCCATCATTTGTAAATGAGACTCTGACATACTTTAACTCTTTTGCTGGAGACAACAACTTACCCCCAGATGAAGCAATCCTCTGGGTTACATTAGAGACACCAAATGTAGCCTATTTTACGATGAAGAAATTGCTAACCTACTTACTTTAATGTCCTTGCACTGAATTACGATCGTCAGCCAAGTGACTGAGCTAACATTATGTAACAAGGCTTGACAACAAACTTTTGGCGTTGTTCATATGTAAGGTCCTCATTCATTTCTGATTTAAACAAACAAAAAAAAAAAAACCCACACGAGTCATAACGGTTTTTTTCATGTAACAACATTGCTGGTTAAAATTGTGGTTTTAGAGCAGGCTGTGTTACTACAACTTACACTAACCTACATTAGGTAGTAGGCTAGTTTTGTTTGTGATAAAAGTAAACTCAACCGCAAAACAGACTCTCTGGGGGACATGTCAGTTCTTTCTTTGTATACAAGTTAGGATAATCCAGAGACTACCTTACCTTACCTTTTTGACTCCAAGTACAATTACTGTTGCCAGCTTTATTTTACAAATGTGACAAGGATGATGGCCAAAAACATGAAAACTAAACTCCTCTAATGCCACCACCAATTAGTACCCAGACAACGCTCTCTGACCACCTGGGAAAACGCTGTTTGAAGATGTGACAACAATGGACTGTGGTGACGTTGAATGAAACTCTGTACATATTTGTAGACGACAGATGAACTTGGTCCCAAATGAGAAGCTGCTGCTTTGGAGTTATGCTGACAGAGAAGATTTGGCTAAAAAAGGTTTAGGAAAGGATTGTATGAAGCTTCTTTCAAAATTAAACGGTCTGACCTTGAAAAGACCAAAGCCAATGAGCTTGATGATGAAGTTTCCCCTTTGCTTTATTTATTTTTGCCTGGTTACAACATGATAGCAAAAACTGGGGTTATAATTTATTAAACAGTAAATTAATATACTGATAAACTGATAATAGTTGGTCATAGGGCTGAGTGATAAAGTAATTTTTTTTTCAAGTTTCAGGGGAATTATGTTGTGATATGATCTTATGTTATCTTTCTAATTAAAAAAAGCAGCTGTCATTATTTAATATTTCAGAGCAAACAAAACAAGCTTACGAGCAACTTAAAGATATAATTTTGGGCTTTAAAAAGTTGTGATTCAGAACTTAACTGGTTTGACAACTGGCAAATATTTCATGCTAGACGATTATTGTGGTATTTTTTGTTAAACTATTCCCCGTTGGTGTCAATGATGTAGAATACCTGTAGCCACTTTTGGTTTCGCAAATAAGGCTGAACCACTCGAACGGGAATCAAATTATGTATTCCTGCTTTCCACACTGCAAATACAAGTTTCTATTTGAATGCAACCCAAAAGCACGGTAAATGGTGAAAAGCATGCAGTGTAGTTTGTGTCATTTCGAGATACAAAAGAAACACAAACTGTGTCCTCAAAAATTCTACCGCTCAGGGAGCCTTTGAACAGGCGACCAATTCCTCTTAAGACAAAGCTACAGGAGGCTGAACAGGTACACCGCGTACCTGACAGCTGACCGACTCACCGGGTATTTCATTGCAGTCTCTGCGCTGAGTGCTGTTCCCCACGCAGGGGTTGTTTCCCTGAGCGCCACATACGCGACTCCTCATCTGCAAGCCTGAGTCATCACAGGCTGACCACAGTGACCAGGCCATCCAGCCACCTAAACACAGAAAAAAGAACAATCAATATAAGCCCAGACAACCACAGGGCCACATCAAACTCACACGGCCTGGAAGCTAATGCGCCCACCCAGGCCGCCGCCACCTGCGGCCACTAACCTTTCCGGCCGGCCAAACAACCCCAAACACACCAGAAAGTGTTTGTGATGTAAACAGGATTGGAAGAGTAAACCCATACAGTTTGTTTAGTGCATAGCGGAGATGTTTGTCTCCCGAGCCAAGCTTTAGTGCCGTTTCCCCGCAGCAGGCGACTGAGCAGTAAACAAAGGCTTCTACCCAAGAGGAAAGAGAAAATTCCCAACTTTCAGCTCCTCCCTTTGAACCATGCACTTGCTGCACTCTTTCGCCTTGTATTTAAAAGCACCGGAGTGGAGGGAGCACAGGCTTCTGCAATGAAAGGCTGATGAAAAAGCTGGTTTGTTATTCAGCGTGCTCTCAAGTGTGCAGTTTTGGCAAAGAGAGCTTTAGTTAGAGTCAGAGGACAGGCCTCTTTTTACCTTTCCTGTCAGTCTGGTGCTCACCAACAGGCTGCTTAGTCTCCACCATCTGCTCCCTTCTTTGCGCACAACCATCTAGACACACAAAACACACCGACCACCTCATATGCGTTTAATAACCGTGCATCGCTACAACCCGATTTAATTGCTTCATTTATTCCCATTTATTTTTGTCACCCGGACGACCTGCGTGATCGTACTGTTGAGTCAGGAGGAGCACCATCAGGCCCGGGGCTCCTCGTTAGTATTCTGTCCCGACAGTTCTTCCTGCTGTCCTCCATTACTGGTGGAGACTTTAATCAAATGACCTGCGACAGGGGCATCAAATATCCCTGTGACTGACAGCCAGCTTGCCTCTAATTACACATGCAGCAGGAGCGCCAGCGCCAGGTGGACCCCAATAAATGACTGATGTCGCGCCTGTCAATAAATGAACAGACGAGGAGGCGGCGGCTCGGGGCTGGAGAGGTTGTTAGCAGTCGACTGGTGCAGGGTTAACGCGACGTGTTCGTCCACGTCAAACAGGAAACATTAACCTGATAAAAGAGGCTGATTAGCATCGCCGCAAAAAGGAGGGAAGACAGAAAGCCATTTACCTTTCTTTGTCTGTAATTACAAGGGAGGCTGACTGTAAGCGTTAAGCTCTCTGTGAATGACAGTTGGACTGATACAAAATGAAAACCGTTTGAGGAAAATGACTGTTAAGAGGAAACCGCTGTTTAATTCAGGCAGAAATCATCTGCACTACAAGTCATCTGTCTGCACACACACACACATAAACACACATGCTTTCATAAGAAATACATGAACATCCCAGACAATGAATATCTGTCTGGGGCCATTTTTTTTGTTTTCCAGCGGAATAAAGAAAGAAAAGAAGAAAATCACATTGTGGTGACAAAACATTGAAGGCGGTTTGATAATAAATCCTAGAATCAGAGTCAGGCTGAACCCTTATGAGTTCTGATGCTAGACTTTTTTATCCTTCTGGATTAGCAGGCAGCTCTCTCATGAATATTTCAGCGTCCTTGTGAGAGGAGAATTGAAGGAGGAAGTATTGAGGGCATTTTTATACATGTCACATATCATCACATTTGGGGAAAACTAACCTTCAAAGTAAAGAAAAAAAAACATTAAAATAAACTTTTTGTACTGCTTTAGTGTGTGCTGTTACCGTATACTTCTATTATTTCACTTTATTACTGTAATGTCTCACTAAAAAACATTTTTTCACTTACCTCAAATGGTATTTTTATGAGGCGGTGCTTGGAAGTTTGTGAACCCTTTAGAATTTTCTACATTACTGCATAAATATGACCTAAAACATTGTCAGACAAGCTCTAAAAGTAGGTATATGTTTTGTTGACGCTAATAGGCCTGGAAATGTTGCAAAAAGGCCCTTAAAAAGAGTTTAGACTTCACTGATGCACAGTTAGACAGACTGTGTACAAAAGGAAGAAATTCAAAACCACTCATATCCTCCTCAGGAGTGGTCGACTAACAAAGATCACTCCAAGAGTAAGGTGTGTAATTGTCCACAGGGTCACCAAGGAAACCAGGGTAGCATCTTAGCAACTAAAAGCCGATCTCATTCTCTCTTAGCTTGCCACTCATCATGAATCTACCATAAGGAGACACTGAAAAACAATGGGATGCATGGCAAAGAGACAGCAGCTACTCTCCAAAAAGAACATTACTGCCTGTCTGCAGTTTGCTAAATAGCATATGGACAAGCCAGACGGCTACTGGAAATATGTTGATGAGACAAAAATAGAACTTTCTGCTTTAAATGAGAGGCATTGTGTTTGGAAAAATGAAAACAATGCACTCCAGCATGGAAGCCTTATGCCATCTGTGAATCATGGTGGTGGTAGTATCATGGCTTGGGCTTGTTTTGCATCATCTGGGCCATCATTGACAGAACAATAAATTTGGAAATATAGCAGCAAATTCTAAAGGAGAGTCTGTTTGTGAACTGAATCTCAAGGGATGCAGCAAGAAAGCAACCTGGAGCACACAAGTCTTCTACCAAAGAATGGTTAAAGAAGAACAAAGTTAATGTTTTGGGATGCTAAGACAAAGTCTTGACCTTTATCCAACAGAAATGTTGTGGGAGGAGCTGAAGCGAGCAGTTGATGCGAGGAAACCCTCATCCCAGAACTGCAGCTGCTCTGTGCAGAGGAATGAGCTGAAATTCCTGCAAGCTGATGCACAGGACTGATCAACAGTTACAGGAAATGTTTAGGTCATACCAAAGACTAAAAGCAAAGGTTCATGTATTTTTGCTTATTGACATGTCATATCTGATAATTAATAAATAAAGTATAATATTTCCTTCTCATTTGATTGTGTCTTCTTATTTTTAAGTATAAAATCTGATGATGTTTTAGTTCATATTTATGTAGAAATAAAGAAATATTTAAAGGGTTGATAAACTTTTAAGCACCACTGCAGTTTTGTTTTTTGTTGTTGTTTTTATCCTTGTTTGAAGATGGCTGCCTCTGACATTTCCACCTCTTCCCAACTGAGGACCAAGAATTCACACATCTAGTGTACATAATAATAAAGACAGAAAGTTCTGGATGCTCCACAGAGCATTGAGCTGTTAACAGTAGGATGAAGTATTGTACTGAATTATTGAGAGTAACTAAAGGTATATTTTAAATTTCATGTCAGGTCATAGGTCTGGATAAATGCTATCAAAGTTCACTGACCCAAAATGTTTACAGTAATTAAAGGTACACATCGGAATTCTATGGAAGTTCATTGGTATGGAACACCAAAGTTCAGTGACACATAAATACCACTGCATTAGCAATAACGTTTGCACATCCCTGATTGACTCTCCACCGTAAACACAGGATTCTTGTGACTGGACCAGTGTGAATGCTCACAGACATTAATTATGGATGTTGCAGTTTGATGATTGATTTTCAGTTTTTGCCTCGAGATGCATCAACTTGTAATTTTCCTGAGCTTGGCAGCACAAACCAAATTAAATTTACCACTTTTGGGAGTTTGGTGGAAGTTGAAAATGTTACCTAATGCACACCTTGTAAATATTTGTGTCAGGAAGTGACATCATGTGAAAGAAAATGCATTTGTTAGGCATCCGTAAAGAAGGTTGACAACTGAACAGAGACTGGTGGTAAAAGAAGAGTCAGTACCCATATCCTAAAATTTGAACAAGGTAAAATGCATCACTGGCTAATATTGTTAGTGGATGGTGAGAAATGATGGCTTTCGGTAATGTGAGGTTAATGTCATTTTGTTTTGCACTAATTATCCTGTTTGTAAATACATTTTTGCACAGAAACTTGGCAGGGTCCAGCATGTTAGACATTGCTTGTTTGCTTTGTGTTATAATGACACGTGCACTGCACATGCACAGGCATTCAAAACTTCAGACGCATTATGTAAAATTTCCATATGCACAACACAAGTGGATCTCTTTTTAAACCTTTCCAGAGAGGTTGCCATGGTGCTCAGAGCTCCAGCAGCACAGCGGGAAACAACACGGTGGGAGGAATGGGTTATTTTCTCAGCATGGCTCTGTTTATCGCCTCATATATCTAAGACCTGGTTTATTCATTAGGAAAAGATGAAAGAAGCAATTTGGCAAAGGGGACAGCACAGAAATGACATGGTGTGGGAGATGACTGCCTGCCTGCAGGTGTGATAAAAGCACCTCAAGCAGCGGTGGCATGACTGAGGTACATCTTGAATTTATGTGTGACCTTACCATCACAAGTGTGTGTGTTACACAGGGCCTCCTCAGTGTGTAGTCCAATGCAAATGTCTCCTCCATTGGCAGGTGCAGGGCTATTGCAGGAGCGTGTTCGTTGGTAGTGACCGCCACCGCAACCCACGGAGCACTGAGACCAGGACGACCAGCAGGACCACGCACCTTTCACTGCAACACACGAGTATGCATTATATAATCACAAACTGCTTTTCTTCCTTGCTATCAGTTAAGACTGATGTTCGTCTCAGCGGTACACTGTATCAGGAAAGGCATTTGCTCAAGAAAAGCTTGGATTAGTTCAGTTTGAAGACCACGAGCATTAAACGCCTTGAAGAGTCAAGTATCTGTTTCTAAATCTAACACGAATTACTTGAAAGACATCATTCCGCAGTGACATTTAGGACTGCAATCTGTGATCAATCTACAGCAAATCCATCCTCAACACAGAGTCTTAAATGCAGCTTTAGGAAATACGGTTAAATGAAAATCTGCTACAAGTTCCAGCTGTTTTACAAGTACGACTACACAATCATATGGTGCAATAATGCATATGGTGAACTTTACATTCATCACGTTGATCCTACTTTATTTGTTTCTGGGCGGTGTAATTATTCCTGCGTGCAGTTAAATTAAAGCATTTTCTAGTTTCTGTCACAATGTTTTACAAAACTCTGGTCCACTTTGCTTTAGATATGTTTATGTAATTACACAGCATGTGACCGCTACTTCAATTTGTCCCATACTTAATTGGCAAAATAAGATCTTGAGACTTCACTGGTGTGATGCTTGACTTCCTTAAGACTTCACTCCCAGTAGACTTGTTAAGACTCGAGACTTATATAAAAAACATTATTGTCTTTGGCTGCAGCTTATTGAATCATTTAACATTAGGAAAAACACAGCAGCAGGCAGGACCTTCACACGTACATGTCTTTAAAGATGAACTATTTGTCCCTTGGAAAGGACTTTGTGGAACAAAAAACAACATTTAATAGTCAATCTATTTGCTTAAGACAACTGGACTCTGAAAACTTAAATCTGGTGGAAAACAACAGCTCGCTGTGTGCTCTGTATTATTTGTGTGTAATTGTGGACCCCAGAGGACAGAAGCACCTGCTGAATGTACCCCAAGGCAGCATGTAAAATATGTTTTATACCCGACATAAATTTGACTTGTTGCACCAACTGGGCACCTTAATGTATTTTTAAATATTTAAACCTTGTGCAGGCCTCAGACACAAGGCTGGATGCAGCTAAGCTGAACAGAGGCTTCACTTAGCCTATTGGAGCCCAGCTGGTGGAGTTGGCCTCAGGAAGACAAACAAAAAAGAAAAATGGAGGCCCAACAAATGGTAAACACATTTTTTCTGTGGTCTTCATTCGTGTTTGTGAAAACATTATTTATATTAGACATTTTCCATTCATTTTTGCCTACCTGGGCACTACTTATGCACACACAACACACACACACACACACACACACATATATATATATATATATGCTATGTGTCAGATATTTTCCTGCTTTTTGCAGTCTGTACTTGACTTCCTGATCATCTAATTTCCTTCTTTGTCCTCACTGTGTCCTGACTTACTGTGTCCTGCACTGATTTATCCTTCCCATGGGAGCTGTTAATGTTTCATCTGATCTAATCAAAAGAGCGTGACTGACTAATTGACTGGCTGGTTGACTGGCTGATGTCTGTCTGACTGACAGAGAAAGGCAGCGTTGCCAGGTAACATCACAGTGCAGCAGAAAACTCCATTAGCTGAGTGGATTAGTGTGACACAGAGTAAAGCAGGCTGCGACCACTTAACTCTGACTAGCTCTCAGAGCCAGCCACAGCTCTGCCTGACTGCCTCTCCGACTAACTGGTTGTTTACCGACTGACTGGCTGCTGAGCACCTGACTGGCTGAATTACTGGGTGACTCAATGGCTACCTAACTGACGTACCACTTTATGGCTCTTTGTGCTGTCCTCTTGTGTGGCTGACTTGTGTCCATTTACATTAGGAAATATGAAGATGAATTATGGGAAACGTGCCAGTGTGTACGTTTGGTTTCCCAAAAAAAGCAACATTTTGAGTTAATGAAATTTGTTGGCAGAGTTGTAAACCCGACTCTAACATGAGTCAAATGGAAAATTCAGGATTATTAAAAATTAAAGAAACAGACTTTTCATAACCACACACCATACATATATATTTTAGGCTTGACCTGGATTCATCTTAAATGTTGACACTTGTAGAGACTTGTTTTAATTGACTTCAGACTAGACTTGGACAGACTTCAGATTTGACTTAAACTTTTCTCTATTTGTACATGTTTTGACCAAACACTAAGAATCTTATTTTGGCATATGATCTCCTTTTTAGAGGAAAATGTACAGCTTTTTGCCCTTATTGTATAGGACACTGAAGAGAGAGACAGGAAAGTGGGGGAGAAGAATGGGGGAAGGACTTGCAGCAAAGGGCCATGAGCGGGATTCGAACCCATGGCTGCTGCGTTGGGGACTACAACCCCTGTACATGGGTCGCCAGCTCAACCAGTTGAGCTGTAGTAGTGGCCCGAAGGGTGCTTTTTTTAGAATTTTATTTTGACGGTTCAGTCGGTGCTGACCAGTCAGCCTCGTCTTTTCCCGTCTCCTGTTTACCACCTGCAGGTTTGCCAGGTCACTGTTGTGGCGGTGCTGGAAGTCATTTGGCTGCCCCCCAAGTGAGGCTCCTGTTCCATGGATGGACTCCAACCCCACCGTCCTGGACTGCAGCTGTTGATGGTAGCCCTTGTTCCGCTCTCTGGGAGATCCAATGCACACTGGTGGGTCACTCCAACCAGAAGCTGCAGCAGGTGAAAAACTGGTTCATGTGCCACTTTGCCAAGCTCCCCAAGGCCACAAAGCAAAACAAGTCCAACTGTGATGACATAGCCAACTAGCATCACCAGCTGTAGTCCGAGTTGGTGGAGTTGGAGTCCGTCTGCAGGATGAGAGTCTCTCTAGAGGGACAGCTGAATGACATAGAAGATAGCTAAAACAGCGACCCGGCCAGCCTGCATGTCAGGAAACGTGAGACGGGATGGGCTGGGGCTAACGGGGTAGCACTGACTGAACTTCAAAAGAAGCCTGAAAGAGGTGAAGATGCCAGTCACTACTTCCAGTCTGAACTTTAACAATAAAATCCGAAAACAGGATGCAAAGATTTACTTATTGAGTCTTGTGTTCAAGGAACAAGCTGCGTATCCAGGCAACTCGTCGTGTGATCATTTCAGTTCAAATATATGTGCAGGAAAGGGTTTGATTCACACTTTTGATTGTGATTGTCGATTTTACTCCATAAAGATGATCATATGATCCTTTGGCCAGATCGCACACCCCTGCTCAGGACTTGACTTCGACTTGAGGTGTTATTTTAGTTCACAGGGGCTGATGTTAGACTTAAGACGTGTCTTGTGTGGACATAGGAGTCATGTGAACGTGTTTTGACTGGCCCAAGTCTTGATTTGAACTTTTCTGAACAGACCTGAGCCTGGACTTGGCTTTGCTTTGAAACACTCAACAATTCTGCATCAGGCTGATGTTAAAATGTTTTCTACCTGTTGCAAAACAGTAGTTTGGTGATAAATGAAGTGTTGAGTTCAGACTGACTTTGATATTGCCTGAGATTAAACTTGTCAGGGAATGGGGACCCTTAAAAACTTGCCAAAAAGCTTTGTGGTATAATGGTTATTTTAAAAACACAGTAAGTTAACAATTGAGCTACTTTCAAATCCTGCAATAGTATAAACACTACAGGTTTATTGTTGTTTGCAGACACATTCCTCTCCCATCAGGCTGGGTACTGGAGTTTCAGAATCCAAACTTTACTTTTAGAACATTTTTTTAGGTCAGACGTCCTAATGAAAGTCATAATTGAACTCAGGCTAACTGTGACTTACTGACTGACTCGCTGGCTGCCCACATAGACACCCGTTTCCACTGCACACACACTAACACCCTATTCATTTTAATCTCCTCAGCAATCTATATTGCCTCCATCCTTCTCTCTAATTTCATCATCAATTACTATTTCGCACTCATTCTCTCTTTTGTCACTGGCCTTGTCCTTCTCACCTGCATGTCTACCAGGGACACGCGCCGTGAGACCGGCTGTAAACGTGACAGTCATGGCAAAGCGCTTCCTCATTGGCTACTTCCAGGGGGAGGTAACCAAGGCCTCCTCGCCTGGGCTTTCTTAGGTTGCGTGTGCCAAGTTGATAAGGATTTCATGTGTGTATCAACAACTGACATCAAAATACACTGCAGGAATTTGATCAGCACCGCACCGACCAATCATAAATCATTAATTCATAAGGTACCAGTCATGAATATTTTATCCCCTAAGAGGAGTTCAGACCTTTTTCTAAGGCCAGCAATTTTGTGTAGGTACGAGTGTGTGTATGTGTGTGTGTGCAACTGTCCTCAGCGTTTAATGAGTGTAGCTTGTCAGTGCAGCAGCCTGTGGTCAGCAGAGTTAGAGGTCAGCTGATTATGGTTTGATGAGGAGTTTGAAATAGATAACTTCATTTGTCCAAGAAGTCTCCCTGCACTGCTGCAGCCGCTGGTAACCATTAGCTAATGAAGCTAATGATCCACTCAGCAGTATTTTACTACCACCATTGACCTCCCTCCCTCTCGCTGTCTCTATCTCTGTTTCTCAGTGTGCGTGTCTTTTCTTTATGAACCCAAGCTCGACTGAAGGAATGGAAATAGGCCAAAAACGGACTTTATCTGCACTGTGAGTATTTGGAACTTCCAGCATTTCAGTGGTGTTGGCTTGATAGAGGAAAAAAGCAGCACATTAGGTGTTCACATCATGACACACAACTAAGTCTGTCAAATATCATACTTTAAGCTGCAAATTTGGGTGGATAAGATTTTATTTACTCGCCAATTTAAAGCTTGTGATATGAAATTGCCTCACTTAGTGGATTTTTTTTCTTGTGATTTGAAAACATATTGTGCACTTGCATATGCTGCATAATATAGCAATCATATTTTGTCAGGTTTGTTCCTTGAAGAGACAAAATGTCTGTTTTTATATGACTAAGGTTGTCATATTTTCTGCTCTCAAAAGACAGCACTGTCCACCAGTCTTGTTTAGCAAGATTATCTTGCTTTAAATGCAGCTCAGACTATGAATCATATAATACAAATGAAGAGACAAGTGATAAACAAATTAACATAAGTGGTTGATTGTGTGAATAAATAATTAAGAAAGATTTAATTAAAGAATGCACTAAAAAGAAAATGAAAACTACAGTGTTTGCTGTGCAAATTATGTTTTTGAAATCCAATGAAAACCCTGTTGTTTGTTATTATTGAGCATATTCTCAACAGTTTGTTCCTCTGTGGTGTTCTCAAGAAGCTTCTAAGAGAATGTGAATGCAGTCGTATAGACATTGTTTTTGGTATGTGGTCACTCACCAGGACATGCCTGGACGTTACAGTCCTGGTATTCTACGGGCGAGCCACGGCACGCCACCGGGGCACTCTTCCCCTCTGGTCCGGCACAAGTTCGCCGACGGGTTCGGTAGCCTTTGGCGCAACTCTGTGAGCAGCTCGACCAGGTTTCCCACGATGACCAGCCTAAACCCGCAACCCTCACCACTGGTGTCTTCAGAAGCTCCTCAACAAGGGCTACAGAGAAAAGAAGGGACAGGCGAAAAAAAAAAGGGGGGAAAAAAGGTTCCAGGTTAGATTAAAGTCACAGAAATATATGCAGCGGCATGACTGAGAGTTTAAAGAATTTCAACAGAGATATGAAGCATGCAAAGTCTTTGAGTGTAAGTCACAAAATATATAGTATATGACTTTGCCAGAAGGCATATTTCTCTGTCCTCTCAAACTCTATCTGGGTCTCTCACGCATCCCACAGTTCCCCCGCTGTCGGTGTTTCATCAGTTTGTCAGAGTCGATGCGGCCCCCCAGGAGGCTGACAGGGGGAGACAGGTAATCGATTTAGGAGAGGGGGGCATGAAAAAGCCACCAGTGGAGAGCAGTGGACTGTGGCCCAGTGTAACTCTATGTGGCAGCGTGTATGTGGGAGTACTGGACTGTGACCCTGTCACTAACAGCATGTAGGGGAGCTAACAGGTCTAACAGGAGGGCCCTTTCAACATGTCACGCTCCTACTGGGAGAAACCTTTGCATGCTGCTGGTGCTCACTGTGCTCATACACAAGTGGGAGTTTGTTAGTGTGGAGTAACTGCAGTACTGTATGAGTCTATAAATACATACTTTGATCCTAAAATTAAAAAACTAAACTAAACTAAACTTTCATAATATCCTTTTAAATAATAAATCCTAATAAAATTTAAAAGATTCTTGAATATACATTGGGGCTGCAGGGTGGTGCAGTTGTTAGCAGTGTTGCCTCGCAGCAAGAAGGTTGCCAGTTCGCGTCCCGGTGGGGCCACCGGAATCTTTCTGCGTGGAGTTTGCATGTTCTCCCCGTGCAGCGTGGGTTCTCTCTGGGTTCTCCCACTTCCTCCCACACAGTCCAAAAACATGCTGAGGTTAATTGGTGATTCTAAATTGTCCGTAGGTGTGAATGTGAGTGTGCTTGGTTGTGTGGCCCTGCGATGGACTGGCGACCTGTCCAGGGTGTCCCCTGCCTTCGCCCTCTCGGGACCTGTCACGT